TGTGGAGAAGAAATTAGGAAACGACTCACCTCTATAAACTTGTATTAAAATTTTCTTACCAAGAAAGTGTCATAATTTATATGTAAACCATTTTAAAAGGAAACTATTAAATAGTATGTGTGCCTTGGCACATGCAAATAATAACTTAAGCCAAATTAAAAATCACAGGCAGTAAAAGGTCCACCTTTTTTAAAGGACTAACGGCAGTTTGGGAAATTCTTAGCGGAGTCAAATGGGCTGTACGAGATTAATCAACCAACCAAACGTTGTGACAGTAGGTAAACTGTGGAGATGACCACATGACGCAGTCAAGGCTGCAACGCAGAACCACCTTACACAACATTGAGAAGGGTTCTGGGAAGTCTGGTTTGTTCTCTATTTTCCTACCACTGCCAACAACAGAATTCTGTTGGCTCAATCAGTCACAACAGCCAGAACAGGGAACACTCTGCCAGAAGAAAAGGAGTTATTTAGTGCAATAGTTATTTGAGGGGCTAAGGAAGGAAGAAGATGAAGAAACCGTCTCATAATTTAAGGGGCATCTACCTTGAAGCATGATGACTTGTTTCATTCTTATAACCACAGTAATGGAAACCTCCAAAGCATACCAGATTCTCTGTTGGATCCTGAGTCAAAGACCATGGATGGCAGTAGTGCTCACAGGACCTAGTTTATGATAAATTGAGCACCTGGTATTGGTGCTCAGTTTATCATAATCTAGATTATACCCTCTCAGGTTAAATAGAAGAAAACTATTGTATGAGAGAATGGGCAGCAGAAAGAACACAGATGTAGATTTCAGGCAGGCCCTGGCATCAGTTCCATTTTTTATCCCTTCATTATCCTAAGTAGCCTCTCTAGGGTTCAGTTTCTTCAATTATAAGCCAGGGGTACTGCCAGAGAATTTGTCACAGTTGATATTAGCTCATATGCTGCCTTTGTGTAAAATACAAGGAAGCGTTGATGAAAGTAGGCACGCCCAGTGCCCAAGGGACTGGCTTTTGGAAGGAGTGTAGAATATCTGTAGGTCCAGACTCCTTCCCTAAACCTCCTGTTACTTCTATACGTGATGGTCCAGTTCTTCAAGGGTGAACTTTTAGAAGATACTTAGAGCACTGATATCACTAGCAGACACGAATTTGTTCACCATTCCATTGCTTCCTGCTTCCCCTCCCATGGTAAGAGTTTACAGAAGTACTGAGGCTTCAGCTGGATCACAAGAGATGGGACTTTCCAAGCAAGAAAGGCCATGTGGTTCTCAGGCCACCCAGAAGAGGAAGGATTTGGGTGAGAGGGGCCAATGTGAGACAAAGGCTCAGATACCCAGCCAGAACCTCAGTGAGACCATGGAAGCAGAACACGGTCAGATGTGTGGTTCTAGAGTCCAGAGTAGCTGGTTCTCAACCTGTGGGTGGGTCATGACCACTTTGGAGGTTACATATCAGCTATCCTGCATGTCAGATATTTACATCACAATTCATAACAGTAGCAAAATTACAGTTATGAAGGCACAATGGAATAATTTTATGGCTGGGGACACCACAACATAAGGAACTATATTAGAGTTGCACCATTAGGAAGGTTAAGAACGACTAGTCTAGAGTCTCTAAGGCACAAGAGACACTAAGTGATGGAAGGCCATACGCACACGTAGTTTCTAGAACTGTGGGTCTGGGATTCACCAGAGCTAGCTGTAGCAGCTGTAGCATAAACAGATGGGCTGCCTCAGGGAAGCACAATAGGGTAACATGATCAGGGCCAGAATTCTTTGGCAACATGATTCCTGTGCTCTAGTCAATATGGTTTGTTTGTTTATTTATTCTTTCCTACAAGTGTAATTCCAATTCCCACCTCCACCCACACAGTATAACTTCTTTGTAATATGGGCTACTTCTCACTCACTTTGGCCCATAATAGAGATTTAAGGTTGGGAAGCATAATTTACTGATAAACACCCGTATCACTAAAGAAACGCAGACACTGGCAGTTCCTCAGCCTAAAACCTTTTTTACCCCAAAAGCTCTCGCCAATGCTATGTCATGAAATGCTGCATTCTCTCCAGACCATAAAGACTATTTTAAGAGTCTTCTAGTCAAGGGTCTCAAAGGTGCTAACTTTTATGCAAAAGGCAAAAGCACGTGTAGGTATACTTTCCCGTCTCACCCTTTTCCCCAGTGGCCTTGAAGTTTAGCTTTTTCCTTATCTGTACTGAACCCATCTAAATCTAAAGTTGGATGATTTAGGGAAATGGTGAATGAAACCCGTAGACTACTGAACATTCTGTAACGTGCATAGCAGAAGAATTCTGTGAGGCTCTTCTTCACACTGGATGAGAAAAACTTGCGGTTTTCTTATGAACACTTTAAATATGAGCAAACGTAAAGAGACTAATATATAAGAGATTTTGTAAATAGGGCGCAGAGCCAATTTGGGGCTTTTCTGCATCCTGTTTGAGTGAAGGTTTTGTTGATTTTTCATTTGTCTGTTTGTGGAACAGTCCTCCAAATGAAAAGAGACCTCGGAAGCCTACTAAGGAAAACCATTCTCCCTGAAGAACTTTGACCTTTACCTTTTGCAACAATAGCTTAAAGGGCACACAGGCCTGACCTGTGTTCATTACAGCAAGTGTGTTTCCTGTGGTAAACTTTAAATGCTTTAAAGTGGAAGCATCCAGGATTCCAAATGAAAGATCTTAAAATTTTTCTTTAAATATGGGGTGCCCAGTATATTTAGAAGGACAGGAAGTTCACTTGTGTGTGTATTTGTGAGTGTGTGAAGGCTGAGAGGTTGACACTGGGATTCCTTCTTCAATGGCTTCTCCTTATTGTTTGAGACGGGGCACTTGTGCTGGCCACCAGGTCCCTGGGGTCTACCTTTTATTGTCCCCACTGCTAGGGTTACAGGCACATGTCATCATGCCTGGCATTTCTTTTCTTTTCTGTTTTTAAATGTTGGTGCTGGAGACCTAATTCAGGTCTTCTACATGTGGAGCTAGCACTTACCTGGCAACCCATTCCCTCAGCCCTAGGTTTTTTTTTTTTTTTTTTTTTTTTACATTGAAAATGTCTTTATTACCCTTTCCAACAGCTGTCCGAAGGCTTATCTCCAACACCTGAAAGCACAAAGATAGTAATAACCTCACCAGTGCTGAGTCCTCTCTCTTAGCTTTCATTGCTTGTCCCGGGAATACAGGGTGGGACTGGGTGAAGAGCAAAGGTGTGTCTTTTTAAAAAAAATTTTATTACTTACAGTTTATTCCCTTTGTATCCCCCCATAGCTCCCTCCCTCCCCTCTCCCAATCTCATCCTCCCTATGCCCCTCCCCCAGTCCTCTGATAAGGAAGGTCTTCCCAGGCTTCCCTCTGATCCTAATCTATCAGGTCTCATCAGGAGTGGCTGCAGTGTCTTCCTCTGTGGCCTGATAAGGCTACTCCCCACTCAGGGAGGTGATCAAAGAGCAGGCCAATCAGAGACAGTCCCTGATCCTATTACTATGGAACCTACTTGGACACTGAACTGCCATGGTCAGCTCTAGTTTTTAAATGATATGTTTCTGACCTGTCCTCATGGCAGCTTTAACCTTACTTTACTGAAATAAAAAAAAGAAATAAGAAAGAAAGAAAGAAAGAAAGAAAGAAAGAAAGAAAGAAAGAAAG